GGGGGAGAGAGACAGAGTGGAGACAGAAAGACTTGTACACAGAGTGGACCGTTAGAGTAAAAAAGATAAACACTGAGACTGAGAGAGGGAAGGAGACAGAAAGAGACTGTATGTGTGTGTGTGCGTTAGAGGGAAAGTAGCAGGGGGGATAGACAGAGACAAAAAATGAGAAAGAGAAGGTGAGGGATGCACAAAGGAGAGAGACCAAGAAATAGAGAGGGTGACAGCTCCATTGAAATTATGACATTGTTTTTTGGCTGCGGCTTTTCGGACTCGAGTCTGAATAGCCTCCCGTGGCTATTCGGACTCAAACTCCAATCATCCAATGCGCTTGCGCTATGACCAGGCGTAGGCTTGAGAGAGTATATGATTTATAGTCTCTGGTGTAGGCTAGGCCCTACCGGATGTGTCGCGGACAGCCAATTCGACCTTGGCCTTCCTCGGCGGTTTCTATGTTCTGCCAAAGTTTTCGACACAAATTGAGAAAAGTATTATGGTGACGTCAAAAGGGAACATGACAACAGCTGCAAAATCTGAAATACTAGATCTAGATCTACACAACAAAGGCAAACGAGGAATCGGCAATCTGAGCTCAGAGCAGTGAAAAAAAATTGAAAATCAAAGTTTCAGAACAACAAAGGATTTTTACTATCTTGGGTAGTCGAAACCTGCTTTATTTGATGAGAAAGACAAAAGCATTGATCAATTGGAAGTTCAGTTAGAAATTAAGAAGAGAAAAGTTAAAAGCCCTTCCAACAAAGGGAACAAAAGTCAGTCATTCAAAGTAACATGGGTCTAAAGGTATCTGTACAAAACAATAGGCCTACCTATTCTGATAGTGTTCAAAACAAGCAACAGTCCTTGTTCAGTCTGAAGGAGGGGTATTAGCTCAAAACGTTTGTAAAGTTTTTGAAATTGTCATTTCTTATGGACAATTAGAATGCAAATCAAATTTTAAAACAATTAAAAACCAATGTGCCAGGGTCTGGACAATAAAAATGTATCTTATCTTATCTTATCTTATCTTATCTTATCTGATCTTATCTTATCTTAATGACAACAAAAGAGTCAGTTTGGAAGTTTTGGAGTTTGAGTCCAAATATATATAGCCACGGCCACTTCGTTGTTTTTTTCTTCAAATTGTCGTATTGATTCCTCCAACAACAAAAAACGGAGGAAAAAACAATAGTTCATCGAAAAGACACCCGCAATCTTAATTTAGACCTAGGCCTCGAAACTAGACCTATGACTTATCTGTCTGTCTAGATCTTGACCTTGGCCACGGAAGAACCCAGGTCTTCCCTGAGCCCTGAGCCAAGAGGGTGCTGTGACTTTCCAAAATCACAAAATATTTCCCCTACCGGGTCTGTATACTGCGTGACTTTATTCCCGGTTTCCGGCTCTGTATGTATATATACTCCCTATTTTATAACCTCTCTGATTTTAGAGGATAGCCTAATTGATGCTTCATTCTAATTGTTCAGAATGAGATAAATTTGTCAAGAGTCAAGAGTGGGTATCCTTGCCTTGTTGAATAGGCCTAATGTTCACTAATTTTTTTCTTTTCTTCTGTTCACAGCTCATGTTGCAGATGTGGATTACAGATTGAGCCAAACCCAACCAACATGTGTGTAAACTGTTTACGGTCAGATGTGGACATTACAGAGGATATTCCAAAAACGTCTGTGCTTAACTTCTGTCGAAGCTGTGAGAGGTAAGAGTGTGTGTGCTAAGCTTACTGAAGCAGAAGGGAAAGATTTTTTATCAGTTGTGTGTTGAATCATTATTTTATATTATTTTTTAAAAGTCAATATGGGGGGAATTGTGAGCCAGTTATGAAGACATCAGACTTGCAATTTTAAAATTTTGGGATCGATCTGCAACACCATAGTCTGATAGTACTTGATATTTCAGTGGAAATGTATACTTGGCCTTGAATATATTTATCGAAGTGACTATTTCTCCGAACGTTCGGAGAAATAATGCCGATCTTTATTTCTCCGAACGGTTTCCGGCTTCCGGTCTCGTGATTTTTTGCCTATTTATTGCGAGAGTTCGGCGCCAACTTTCATTCTGCCTCTGGTCTGGGAAGGAACACCGCATGGCAAGCCCGCCTACAGACAACCTTCAGTAACACCCACCACACACCCACCACCATCATGCACATGTACACACACAAACTTATACACACACTAACTAAACATGATCAGTGGGCAACTTTTGAACGTATGACGAGCTGAGCTGTGGATGGAGAGACAGTGTGAGTGAAAGAGCAGGTGAAAGGAAGAATACGAGTGTATCCACAGGCGACAGCAACTACAAGACGACGACACCGACCCCCCTGGCCTGGTCCACAGCTCACGAACGAAAGGAATGTGGCTAAGGCAGTGTTTTGCCTATATTGTTGTTCATGGTTCACAGGGTGCAAGGGAATGAGTGAGATTTTCTCTGTGTGTGCCTGGAAGGAGGGGGTGGGGTGTGAAAGTCATGCGGACAGGGATGAGCCGTGGGAGAGAACACGGCGGGAATTGAATGAATGAGTGAAACTGAAAGAGAGGAACGACTCATGAGCCCTGGAGTGAATGGATCCTGTGTTTCTATTTTTGTATACTTTGAACTGTTACTGAATAAAGGCTGAAATAAAGCCCGAAAAACAAACACACGCATGCTCCTCACTCTCCACTTACACTTACATACTTACTACCACACACAGACACACTCACACTCGCACATGCATACACACACATACACACACACACACACACACACACACACACACACACACACACACACACACACACACACACACACAGGAGCAAATTTATAGGTCTATATATCTATTTCAATTTTCAAGAGCTAGTCTGGCTAGTCTAGAGATTTTTAGATGAGTGTAAAAACGTGAAAAAGAAAGGTTTCACATCAGAATGAAACCAAAATTAGAACAGCCCATAAACAACCACAAAAATTAACAAATAATAAGGACGTGAGTCCACCTGTCCGAAGAAGATTGGCTGTTTTAACACTAAATTGCGTAATTGTAGAACAAAGTACAGGATATTACAAGTAAATTGTGGAATCGCACACATTAAGGGGCCTGCCAGTGTCAGTACATCTGATCGGTTTTGGTGGAACATATGCTATAACATAACACATTTAAATCTATATATATATATATACACATGTATATCTATATATAGAGGGGAGTGATTGAAGGGGAGGGAGCCCCTGATTACAATGGTCTCACACTATACAGCCCTGCCACCCCGGCCCGGCCCCTGGCTTCGGGGTTGCCAAGATATGGCCAGAGTGTAAAAGTTTGACCCTACATGTGGGACCGGGTCTGGGGGAGGAGGCAAAGTTTAATATAAAACACCACAAAGAGGGAAAAATAAAAGTAACTGTAACATATTCAACAAATCAACGTGGTGACAACAAGTGAGAAAGAGACGAAGTGAAGCTAGGTGAACTTTCTTTCAAAAGTAAAGAGGTTCGGTTTCTTTCTTTCTTTCTTTCTTTTTTAAAAATTTTACTTTTATTCTCAGATTTGGGGACCAAAAAATAGAGCCACGATTGATTGGTCGCGTCTGCGACAAACGCAGATATCTATGCTAGTTCTATGTGTCGTTATCAATAACCCTCCATAGATCTAGATCTAGATCTAGACAGCACACGAGTGAACACAACACATTAAGTTTAAGAGCAGCACCTAGACGGTCAGAGAGATGAACGGTAGTAAGAACGTATAGAGCAGCACCCTTCATAGGCAACACGTCATCTGTAACGAAAAACTGTTTGGAACTGTAGCATTTCTTTATATAAATATTTACTGCGGACATTTTTTGGACTGATTGAACCATATTGTATACGAACAATCTTTGGTAGGCCTATACTATAATTATAGATCTATATAATATCCGAAATTTGCGGAATGGATGTGATTTCAGAGTGTTCGGAGAAATAGTGCCCAGCTTTATTTTCCTGAACGTTCGGAGAAATAGAGCCTAGCTTTATTTTCCCCGAACGTTCGAAGAAATAGTGCCGCCCTTAAGGCCTATATTTATTTCACTGTTAAAAGACTAGTATTAGTATGCTGTATGTTCTGTAGTGCTTTGAGTGTTTGAGGTACTGAAATATTTGAAAATAGAATGAGCAAGCTGATTGATAGGTAATGTAGTATTCTTTATAGCCCTTGATCAGAAGGCTTTTTACTAAAAACTCACTTTCATTATCCTCCCTCTCTCTCTCTCTCTCTCTCTCTCTCTCTCTCTCTCTCTCTCTCTCTCTCCCTCTCCCTCTCCCTCTCTCTCTCTCTCTCTCTCTCCCTCTCTCTCTCTCTCTCTCCTGGCACTGTGGCGTCGTAAGTGGTTAACATCACAAGACAATCTCTGCAGTGGAACCCACAAGGAGCACGAGGCAGGGGTAGGCCACGGGAAACATGGAGGAGATGCGAGAAATGAAGCTCACTTGGAACGAGCTTGAAAGGATGGCTCAGGACAGAGATAAATGGAAGGAGCTTGTATGTGGCCTGTACCCTGCCAGGGGTGAAAGGCATTGATGATGATGATGGTGCCGACAGCACGCAGGAACTCAACACTAGCTTGGGGGTCCTTGAAAAGTGCTGAATTTGGATCTCTGAAATGTCCCAGCAGACATGTTCTGGCACAATAGTTGGCAGGACATTTCAGGAACAAGTGATCCACTCTCGTCCCCCTCCCTGCAGGCTCGACAGGACGGATCTGGGTTGTCTGTTGGCGCAATTTTGTGTTAATATGATTTCAGCTTGGGCGATTTTCCATCAGTTTTTATTTGGGAGAGAAGCCGGCGGTCTTGTGGTATGAGCGAGGACTCAAGCTGGTGTATGATGGCGGCTGGGCGAACGGCAGTTTCGGTTTTGCCTTTCTTTTTCTTTTTTGCGAGTCGAATGGTGGGTGGGGGCTTTAGCTGTTAAGAAATTGATTGGCGCATCAATCTGGGTAAGCGCTGCTGCTTCATTAGCCATGCTGTCAATTCCTCGTTCCCAGCTAGTCTAGCGTGGCCTAGAATCCACTGTAAGTGGATGGAACATTCGGAGCGTTGACAGAGGGTGAGCAGACACTGCCAGATTGAGCACGTCACCTTTTCTGTTTGGTTGGCGGGGCTGTATGAGAGGTGCATGCTCATGACCGCTTACCGAGAATCAGTGTATATATGAATGCGCTCACTGTTCGAAAGACTGCCTGCTGTCTGTACATAGCAGGTCTATCATGCCCAGCGCTGTGTTGAGAGCTACGAACTCGGCCCTGTAGCTGGAACAATACTGGCCCACAGGTTCACGTTGGTCAAGTTCGGTGTCACCGGTCTTGATGAGTATTCCACTGCCTCCATACTCGGTACTGTCTTTAGCTGTACCATCAGTACAGACTTCTACATCGAACGGGGGGAGCGACCGAATGGTAGCCTCTGTTGCTGCTTTCCTGACGGCTGGTTCCTCAGCACGTTTGCAGTCGACAAAGAGATTGGTGCTAAGAGTCATGTTCAGCCTTCCATTGTTGTGTGGGGGGTAAAACAATTGGCTTCTCACTAGGGTACATACCCAGTTCAGTTTCAGCCACGAGGTTTTGGGTATGCTTTCTCCAGCTCGACTTGCCTGTCCGCCTGACCACTGATTTTGTTGCAGAGGCTCTGTGTTCATTATATAACCCTGGAAATGTGTGACTTTGCATTTATCAAAGTAATTGAACACAAGAAAGGACCCAGAAAAACGCAAGTGATGATCACAGTGCTTCCCTCCTGTAAAGAGATTGAGCTACTGACTGATAATAATAGCTTGAATGAGTGAACTGTGCTGTGTGGTTTAGCTTTAATAAATAGTTTTTTTGTTCTCCTCCAGATATCTGCAGCCTCCGAATCAGTGGGTTAAAGCTGCGCTTGAGTCTCGAGAGCTGCTGTCCGTTTGTCTGAAGAGATTGAAGGGCCTTAATAAGGTATTATTACATTTTAAATGGGATATTTTGAATTACTTCTACTGTTTTGTATTACATTGTCATACACACTTGACACTTACTCTTTTATTTATTTTGTCATATATATAAAAGTAGAAGTAACCTTTATACGTTTTATTTCAAAATTTGTATAAATAAAATTATTTTATAAAACTTGTATTACAATAACCATCAACTTGCTACTGTAATAAATGAATCTTATTCTCATAAATAATTGATGAAATCGAAAAATATCCCATTGTTAGCATTTCTACACTATTTTTTTACATGGTGGTGGTTCATAATTTCAAGAATGAAGCAGTTTGAGGGAGGTTTATGTCTCACTGCTACTATTGCACGTTGTTGATATATATAGAGAATGTTCTCCCTCTTATGATTTGGATGTTATCTCTCCCCATCGCAAAGTAGCTCTTCTTTCAACTTTCCACCTTCTCCATAATTTTGAAGATTAATGTGGTGGTATATATGTGCCATTCTACCTTTCACGATATTTAACTTAATTTTCCATGCCTTACCATTCGCAAGTTTAAAATCTGTCTCCGTGTGAACAAAACATTGGTATGAAGTTTTTTGTTATGCTTCTCCACAGGTCAAGCTGATTGATGCAGGCTTTGTGTGGACTGAACCTCATTCCATGAGGATTAAGGTTAAACTGACTGTCCAAAAAGAGGTATGTTGTGGCTGAAATTATTATTTTTTCTTTTGGTTATTCTCAGACATTCCCGTAGTTTTTAACTCATTCGCTACGCCGAGCCGTGGGGGGCGGCGCGGCTAAGCCGCCCCCGGCGGCTCGAGAACTGACGTTCAATTTTAGCTTGGTTTCTATTCCAATCCACATATCCATGTTAAAATAAAGGTCATAATATAACGTTGACCTCTGGGTCAAGCGTTTCCACCGAAAATCGGAAGTTTTGATTCAGTTTTGAAACACGATTTCGTAGTTTATTCGACTTTGTTTTATCGCGATGCCAAAATTATAGCCAGACACCAGTCTTAGTACTTTTACACAACAAAATGTATCATTATTTTGCTCACTAAAGAAATGTAGGACTGTTCTTTATAATATTGATACTATTGGACTCAAATTGCCGGTGCACTGTAATTGAGAAATCAATATTTTTGAGTGTTAGGTCTAGGCCTAGATCTAAATAGTCAAAATATTTTTTTCTCCCCAAAATCACTACTTTCGGGTGAAATTAATCAAAAAGTACCACTCAAGACATGTATAGGTTTATTCCAAATGCAATTCTGAATAATTTCATATAAGATATGCGTATTTTTTTTCTGTTTGAGATCCTTTTTTCAAAATTATTAAATTTTTATTTTTTTTTTCAATATCGGATGTTATGATCCAAATGTACAAATATTATGGAATGTATGTAAATAACTGCACATTTTTCAATATTTTCCTGTTCTATATACAGTTATGGTTATTTCGAAGTATCATTTGACCAGGTGCAAACATATTTTTTTAGTTTCACTTGAGATTATAAATTTTTTATTTTCCAGTTTTATCCGCATCCAATCACAATTGTGTTGCATAATCGCCTCTTACAGGAACCAAAGTTGAAAAATACGCAAATAAATAATGCAGATGTAATTCTACAAACCATACTGAAAATGTTGGTATATAATATGTTGATATTTATTTGAATTTATGGCCCCAAAGACCTGTGAACTGCGCACTAGTCATCATCTCATTTCGCCCTCCCGAAAAGAATTCGTCCACAAGCCGAAAATAATACGTAGCGAATGAGTTAAGGCCGAGGGCAGTTTTGTTTTTGAAGATGTGGTTAAAGCTATGAAGTGCAGTGGTTGAGAGATGAATGAAGCATTATGTTGGCAGGCTGTTAAAAATTTTCTGAGAGAGTTAAAGCTGTTTCATTGTTTTAACATCTGTACCAAGATTATGAATATTTTAATAAATATTTCTTTAACTTATGCAACCAATTCTACAGATTAAGTAGACCTGCATGTTTGCCGACAATTGTCTGAAATCCGACAATCGCGACCCGACCCGCGAACCGGCCGATGCTATCGCTAGGCCCGCCTAGTAACAGTCAATGTGCGTAGTGCGAGGCCTGGCCGACTGCCAGCGACCCCTTTTTCTCCCGTCGGCTTCGTCGGCACTTTCGTTTTCGTGCCGACCGTCGACGCGCGCACCGCCGACTGCCGACGTCGGCGTTTCCGACATAATTGTCGGAACCTAAGTAGAAATGCGAATACGAAAAAGGACGACAACTTAAATTATCTACTTTCAGTTTCGTGCTCGAGCGGCCATTTTCAATTTCGTTTGTTGACTAATTCAATTGTTCAGATCGTGTGGGTTCATTCAAGTCCGACTCTCTTGTTCTAATAGAATCTAGATCTAGATTTATATAGAGATCATTATAGACCTCAATGGAGGATTCATAATCCAATTGTATTGTGTCAAACCCTATCATAGGTTGTGCTGTAATATTAATATTGGTAAAAATAAGCATTTCATCAGGTGCGTGAATTATTTATTATTATTATTATATTTAGATCTATAGTCTAGATTCTAGATCTAGATCTAGTTAGATATCTAGATATAGATCTAGATCTAGCTAGATCTAGATCTAGAATCTAGACACAGCTGAGTCCCTCTGTTCGGAATCGGATGCGGATTTCTAGTTCAAAGCCTAGAATCTATTCCTATTCACTTGTTCTTCAGGATCTAGATCTAGATTTTTCTATATCTAGATCTAGATCTAGATTTATTTTTTAGATTACTAGTCTAGTAGATCTAGATATCTAGATCTAGATCTATAGTCTATATGGAGGATTCATATTCCAATTCTATTGTGTTATTGTATCAAACCCTATAGCAATGTAGATGTAAGCCATATAGATATAAAATTTAGATCTAGATCTAGATCTAGAATCTATATGCTCCTTGTTTGTTTTGGAGTGTGGTTTTTTAATTAAATTTTTTTTTCATTTAGTACTTGTTTTGGCCTTTTTACATGCGAATCCCTTTAAGATGAGGCCCGATGCAGGTTCTTTTTGGGGTAGGGTTAGGGTTAGGTCTCTTCTTTATTGTGTTTGTTGGGGTGGTCGCTCGTTACTCGGATGTCCTTCCTTATGACACCCACTAAGGCTTTTTTTTTGGGGGGGGGGGGGGGGGGGGGTTGCGCAAAATTTTCAGACAATCTGGTTGAGGCTCACATGCAGGTCTAATTAAGGAATTACAATGTAAGAATAATAAAACTGAAAAGCAGGCTGATGGTTAAGATGATATAAAACATGGCTTATAATGCTGACATAATTATTCTGTACGGAGAAATAACAACCACTAAACTGATTCGGATTCAGCCATGGAAAATTTATGCTTCAAATACAATTTTTATCTTGGTATCTGAACTGCTGTGTATACTTGTGTGATCTCTACGAACACATTGTGTTACACAGCTAAGCAGGGCAGAAGAGGAAGAAGTGGAAGAATGTAAAGAAGGCTACTATCACTTCAAAATGGCTTTAAAATGCAAGCGTTTTATCACTTTTCCATCCAGATCTGGGTAATGTGCAATAAAAAGTCTGATTCACACTGATTGTGATAAATATTGCGGTTTTAGGTCAGAATATGTTTTGAGTTAGCCGAAGCAGGCACTGACTCTAAGGCATTTAGATCAAGTGCTGATTGTGAGTTCAGTGATGTGGGTAGTTAGAAAGTTATCTGGTGTGGTCTGCTCCTTAATTCTTACCAAACATTGATTGTTCTTAGGTCCCTTCCTCTTTTTTTTTTTCATACTAGAGAGTACTTTTTTGTACTTTCCTTCAGGTGCATCTTGCATTTATAGTTTTGTTCATTGTTTCCGTCAGGTGATGAATGGCGCTGTCTTGCAGCAGGTGTTTGTGGTGGAGTACACGGTACAGTCCAATATGTGTGAGGATTGTCATCGTGTGGAGGCCAAAGACTTTTGGCGTGCGGTTGTGCAAGTCAGACAGAAGGTCCGTGCTTACCGCATTAACTCTGTGTCTTTGTGCTTCATTTTTGTAAATGCGAGGCGTGCTGACAAAATAAGTTTCTTCTCGCACTCAGTGACTGGAGATATTTACAGAAAATCAACACAAGGGTCAAATTTCTAGATCTTTAAGCAATGCTGTACCCTTCAAGTTTAACATATCTTTTATTATTTACTACTTATTAACTGTGAAAACTCAACCTGTAAGTTTGATGTATCTATTTCCTTATAGGTAAAATCCGAGAGGTATCTCATTTTGTCAGCACGCCTCACAAATGTGTTGAACAAAAGAATTTGTTTCTGTGTTTGTTAGTAACTCTCATATAGAATCGAGGTGCATGTTGTTACTGCGTGGTTATGTCTTTGACTTAAGTCGGAATGAAAAAGCATTTTCAGTGGTTGTTGAAGTTGATGATCATAAAAGCATTTGCTTTAAAGATTAACATCTGATATATATATGGAGGTGGAGAGAGAGGGATGCAGGCACTTTTCTAGATGGAAACTTTTTTAACATGTCTTGATAACTCTTTCCCTTGAATAATTTTGGACAACAGATATTAAGACATAGTCAGTGGTTGCTTGCAGTGGAGAAAGAGTCTTGTTCTGTGCTCTATTTTATTTTTTGGAAATTGACAAGTCCTGTTTTACCAGTCGGCCCACCTTCTTACCATGACAAATGTATGTCCTCCAAAATATCAAGAAAAAATTTTTATATTTCGGTACAGTGTGACCACAAGAAGACATTTTTCTACCTGGAGCAACTGATCCTGAAGCACCGAGCACACCGTAGCACAGTCAACATCAAGCCCATGGCAGGTACTCAGTGCTGGTCATTTAATCATTCTTCATTTGTGTTTGTTCCTAGCACATCTTGATTTGTTTGGGGGTTGGGGGGTGGGTTGTGTCCAGAAAAAAACAAGCAGGTGTGATGGTCAGGGAATCAAATGGATGATGTGAGTACGTATATTCATGACAAGATGAAGCTTTTTGTGTCCATTTTACCCTTTTAAAGAATTGCATATTTGGTTGGGTTTTGTTGTTTTTTTCCCAGAAAGTCGAGTATATTTTTACTAGGTATTGTGATCAACAAAGTTTAATTCTAACGATTTTTCCTTCCCCAGATGGACTAGATTTCTTCTTCACCAAACAGGACGATGCCAAGAAGCTTGTGGAGTTCCTGTCCGCCTACGTGCCTTGCAGGTCAGTGATGAGAAGACATTGGTCACGTCATGTGTCGAGAGGAAAACTGTTCTAAGTGACATTTTGCAAATTTTACAGTAGAAGGAAAAAACTTTCTCAATTTAACAGAACGCAATTCTAGGATCCGAAACTCACATGTAGTGTAGAAAAAAGGAACACAGGCTCATTTTGTAAATCGTTTTCTAATCAATTTCTTCCATTCTTGTTAAATCAAACAAAGTGTCACGTAGAATACTTTTTTCTGAACAAAAATGTGAGGAAAACTATTCTAAGTGCCTTTAGCAGAGTCATTTAGAAAGAAAAGTATTCTAACTTACGCCCATTCACTGGTTTTCTTCATTTTCTACCACTGGTAACAGTTTTTTAAAGTGGGAAAAGTATTTTAACTGCCACTTTTAATATTTTTCCTCAAAATGTTTTCTCAAGTAGAAGATAAAATAATTTTTCTTAAGGCTGTAACTCAATCATTTTTAAAGCTAAGGCTCTGATGTTTTAACACAAGTTGCGTCCTGTGGTGAAAGTTAAGGCCATTGAAGAATCTCCATTTCGGCCGACATGTCACTTGGAATAATTTTCTTCTAGAGCCGTAACATGATTTCTTAAGGAATACTGATACCTCTAAGAATAAAATACGAGTATAAAATACAATAAAAACTCAAGAACGGTCGCTATGAAATTGAAACTTGAATAACTAGAAACATTCAATAAAAACATTCATTCTCTAAAAATAGAAAAACAAGGATCCTCTTTATGTTAGTCTGCTATCTTACTTTACCAACGATGATTTTCTCCCCAGGTTTGTGACTGGCCGGGAGCTGGTGTCCCACGACATCCGCAGCAACAAGTACAACTACAAGCACACGTTCTCCGTGGAGATTATACCCGTCTGCAAGGTGAGGTCCCCTCACGCGGGGTGTATGTAGGCTTTCCTGTTCTTGCAAGATCATTGTGTTATTGCAGTGACTATTCTACTGTCATTTGAAAAAAACAACAGTATACGCATTTTTGACACTTTTACAGAAGAGCTGACAGATGTTATAGATAGTACTATTTATAGTCTCTTTGGGAGAGCCAAAAAGGTGAATGTTGTAACCAATAAAACATTTGCTTTAAAAATAACAAGGATGCTAGTATCACAACTGTATCATTAAAAATATTGAATTGGGATATTTGCAAAAAGATCTTTTTTTTTTTTTGGTAACAATATTCAGCTTTTTGGCCCTCCTGTAAAATTTTAAAAAATGTTTATACTGTATTTTTATAAATGATGGTAGCATTCTGAACTGATTTTTAAAAATATTTTGTTCGATGGGAATTTGAAGAAATATGGTACCTTCTCCTGCGATCAAATATGTTTATTTTTTTCATGAGTTTGTCAAATTTTATTCTGGAGGAGATTACTTTCAAGAGAACTGCATTTTGCTTACTGAAACTAGGTACAGTTATTTGGCCTCAATATATATGTAAATCAGTAATGTGTTATCTATGTCAGCACTGCTGGTTCATGAGCTTGCAGTTATACTGTCATAAAAAAAAGATTTCTATTGGCATAACGAGTGTATGTGTTCCTGTCTCTGTGTGTGTAATGATGTTCTCTTTTAAGTATGTCTTTTCCTTTTAAATGGATTATAAGTGCAAGGCGTTGGTCCTGACAGGAGAAGTAGGTGCAGTCTGTCTCTAGATAATTTTAACGGTCTTGACTTGGTGATCGGATGAGAACTGGTAGGTTCAACATAGTATAGCCGTAGACAACTGTTTTGATGAAAGTGTGAGCACTTACATTTTTTTTTACAGTAATAGAATAGTGAATCAACTTGAACTGGTCTCTTTTTCTCTTTCCCAGGATCACATCATATGTTTGCCCAAGAAGACAGCACAGCAGCTTGGAGGAATCAGCCCCCTGTGTCTAGTGACGCGTGTCACACAAAGCATACACATCATCGATCCCAACACGCTTCAGTGTTAGTTATTCTACATTGTTCATTAAAAGAAAATCTTCCTTTGTGTTTCACAGCAGAAAAAAAAGTATGAGTCTGAGTTCATTCATTTTGTACGTATTTGTATTTTTAAAAATCCAGTCAATTTCTGTGGTGGTCATATCTCTCTAGAAGACATCTTTGTAAAGGTCATCCTTCATTCCACTGTAACATTGAATTGATAATAATAAACAGCATTTGTACAGCACATACACCTTTCAACGAAAAGCTGTGTGCTCTTTACTATCTGTATTATTATCCCAGCACACCCTAGAACACCCAGAACCATTCTCGAATTCCTGAGAAGCATACAGCGGGATTTAATGTCACGACCTTTTGGTTGCAAGCCCAACAGCTCAACCACAAGACTACCGATGTCACAGTGAAGAAAACAAACAAAAATTAGAGTCAATCAGGGGTTTATTTTATCCGGTATTTCTTTTTTTTCAGGGGCTGAGCTTAGCGGAGCGCAGTACTGGAGGAACCCATTCAAGGCTCTGGTCTCACCGAAACAGCTGATAGAGTACATGGTCCTGGAGGTGAACATGGTTTCAGACAGAGACAGGCCCAATCGACCACGCCTCTCCACCAAGGTAGGGATCCGTTGTTTTCGGTAAAGAGAAGCAAAGAAGATTCATTCCATTAAGTTAGTACATCAGAAGTTTTGTGAGAAAAGGAATTTTTAAAAAAGGAAACTCACTTTTTCTTTATCACCCTGGGAGAAATTTGGGTTTTATTATGTATATATATATATATATATATCACGGCGTCACTTTTCGCCCGATTCTGTTACTTTTAGTTCGCGTGACTCAGCAGCCCGCTGGAGCTCCCCGGCTCGGGGTCACGGGGTTAATGAGCCCTGAGGCGACTTTGCCGGTGTCGGTCGGGAAGTTCGCATTTTTGACTATGTTTAAAACGGTATAACGTCTTCCCCATCCCACACAGCAAACCATTACGCGGATGTACTAAAAGCTCAATATCTTGAGATTTATTCTGCGTTAGAATGGTTAGTTTCTGTGCCTTAGTTTTTGCTCTAGACAAGTGTTTGTAGAGTACCCAATTTGTCCTATTTTAGTTACTAACTTATGAATAAATGATTGTTATTTTAAAAAGGGCACGACAGATCTCTCCAAAATCTGTGTTAAACTGACTACGAATATCATGTCTTTTACCATGAGAAATCTTAAATCTGCGCGAGTAGTAATAGTCAAGTTATAAGAGAAGAAAGATGCACATCTGCATATTTTAACTAAAGACGAGCAGCGTTAGCTCTTATTTTACTATTAAACAAGAGAAAGTTACTCTGCGTTTGTTCATGAATCATGCTGTGTCTGTGGCGGCCTGCATACAACTAAAAAGATATAATATAAGCGATTTAAAAAAACACAAAACCGTGTAAATACATGGGTAGAGATAAACATCTAGTATGGAATAAAAATAATGACAGCTAAAACATTCATTCTTAGTTTTTGTGTAGGAAATATGCACGGACACAATTATGAATGTAAAGAAATCAGTCACATTGTCAGTTATTGCAAAGGGTCATAGAAACTTTTAAAAAGCTGGAAAAGTCTGGTGCTGATTCAGTGTCCCTGGAAAGCTAGAAATTGTTCTTATAACCCAATTACGAGAAGCCATCCCTATTATTCAGTCAACTTACAAAACCTAGACATAGCGTTTTAAGAAAAGTAAGGAATTTCTGGAGTGTAACAGATACTGTTAGTGTATTAGATCTACGTTGAAGATGTATTCTAGCACTAAAATCAATTTGTACTTTTCATAGAGAAACTTCATGATAACTTTTATAAACTTTCGAGAAAATATACGAATTTTCATGATTATATTAGACACATAAAGTTGTATTTGGAGGAATTACTTCGTAGCGAATTGTGTGCCCGATGGATAAAATTGCAAAATTACAGCCTTCTATTATAAGCGCAGATACCATCTTTTCTGAGTATCTGCACCAATGTTATGTCGTTCATGTTCCAAAAGTTCTACAGATTTTGATGATGCCTTTTTTTTATATTGATTTTTTAAAATTCACGCTAGTCCCCCAAAAAATTACAATTTAGTATTGCCGAATCCAGCGCGTCTAACGAAATAACCAGACAAGTTACAACGTCCGTTCTTTTTTGAGTCTCAAGAGCAGAAATGCATGCTTTGGGTGCACTAAATGAGAATTACCATAAATGCAAGGATGCACCTTAAATTGTACGTTGAAAAGTACCAAAAATTAAGTCTGCCCAGACAGAGCGGCGACAGGGAGCTGACCCCCGTGACCCCGACGTGATAAGGCGCCCGGCGGGGAACCCCCCGCGGCAACTAACATTCCACTGCCGGTGCGCCGTGATATATATATATATGTCTGTATGTGTGTGTGTGCTTGGATGCGTGCACACTCACGTCCATACTCATACAGACAATACCTACTTGACATTTCAAAGATAAGTATCACGTCACGTCAAAACTTACAGTATCACATTAATGCAGACATTGTTTCCAACAAACCATTACTGGCAGCCACAGTTCATTGCCCTGTTTTATAGCTAGGGTTGTCATATATCTTGCTCAAAGACACAGCTCAGTAGCCACCCATATAAAAGCCATGTCACTGACATTGCTGGACATTGTCTGTGAGCCTGAGTTTCCGGACGATTCTGAGACTGAGGCCCTTCAGGTATCAATTTATATACATATAATATGTATATTGTAGAAAATTGAAAGATCTACATCCCCAACAACGGGATTGTTTTCTTTTTTTTTGCTACTCGCTCCCTCTCTCTCTCTCTCTCTCTCTCTCTCTCTCTCTCTCTCTCTCTCTCTCTCTCT